TTTGTCTTGAAAAAAAAAAAAAAAAAAAAAAACTTGAATAAAAAAAAACTATATATTTTATGGAGAATATTTGGTTGACGGAATTTTTGTAGTTTGAATGGTTTAGATGTACCAAAGTAACGTCTTAACATAAAAATACGGAAAATAAGAAAGTAGAATTTTCTGAAAAGTATTTTTGGAAAAATAGAACCAAGCAAGCTGAATGATTTTTTTGGGGTGATGATTCATCACCTACGTGTGAATATCATGTAATTATGGAAATATATCAATTAGGTTGATTGTGAATATTAGATTGATATTGTATAGGGTTATTTCCTAATATAGATTAGGTTTAGGATTGCTATAAATATTAGTTTCTTTGTATTATGCACAAGTTGAATATACAGAATTATTCAAAAACTTACATGGTATCAGAGCATCATCCGAAACCCTAGGTTTGGCCTTGATCATTCGAAGTCCTTCCTCTGCGTTCACGCCTGTTGTTCAAAGTCTTCTTTTGGGCTTCTCCGAAGTCGCGAAGGCCTCTCAGTTCTTTGGTCTACTTTGCAGTCACGACTTAGGGTTCGTGGGTCTCTCTGGTTCGTAGGTCTCGATCTCTCTCTGGTTCGTGGGTTTCGCTCTCTCTTTGAAGTCGTAAAGGTCTCTTTGTGTCTGGTTCGTGGGTCTCGATCTCTCTCTCTTGGGTCGATCCATCCTCACGGTCTGCTCCTTCGTCTGATGCTCTAGTTATATGTCTCTCTGTGTCTCTCTATGTTCGTGACTATTTCAGTACTATTTTTGGTTAACAATACTTATTTACAATCTTGCCCACCTATTTTTATTATTATCCTTCAACTTGTTAAATCTTTGGTTTATTATAATGACGGATACCAAAATCCAAGCCATCAGATGTAAACTCACTAGTGTCAATTATGCTTATTGGGCTAGTATTATGAAGAATTTCTCTTTTAGTCAATAAAAATAGGGCTATGTTTCTGGTTCTGTTCCTCATCCATTGGACCGAGGATAATCCATCATCTTCTCCTCATCTCTCCTAAACCAAGCAAGCAAAGAGACCAGTACCATTATCCTATCTTTTCGTTTCTCTCTACCTAATCATTTCTGTTCTTTTCACACCTAGTTTACCAAACTCACAAGTTTTCTGACCAATTACAATTCTTTTAGTTTTTGGGCCATCATGCAGTAAGTTTTAGCGATAAACTAAATTTCTTCAATGTATGCATTCTTCTTCAGAGTTTCCGCTTAAAATTGAAAAGGGAAAAGTTTTAACGACGAACTTAATATAGTTCAAAAAACAGAAAACTGATTCACTAATTGAAACTTTGCGTCATATTATACATGCAAGAAGTTCACTGGAAAATGTTATGGCTCACTGAATTTCACTCCAAGATTGATCGTCTGTGAATATAAGGTATCTGTTTGAACTTCAATTTTTTAAGTTGACTAACTTGAGAAGAAAGTGAAAGTCACACTAAATTATATACCTTTCAGTGTCATATTAATGTCTTTTACGGAACAAAGTACATGCGTTCCGACAACAACATCAACGGGAGCATCACCTAATGGCAAAGCCTCTGCAACCTGCACAAAATCAACAACGTTTAAGTCTAGAGAAATGGGCTGAAGCAACCAATTCCTATCAATTGTCACAACAAAAATATCTATTAAAACTCATGATACTTTGCTTTAAAGTTTACTGCTTACACTGTTCATTATTGACAAAATATCCTTTTTATTTTCATAACCTACCATTGTAGTTATTCACCAAAAAAAAAAAAAAAAACCTGCCATTGTTGCTCAACGGCTCCCTCCCTTCCTCCATCTTTTTAAATATTCAAGCCTCATTTTTATGAACATTTCAACATTAATTGATATTTTTTGCACATCTTAAATTTGGAAACTTATTTTTTAAACAAGATCACATAATTACAAAACCACGAAATATGTCTTTTTAAGTGCTGAATTGCATTATCTAACATTCCCTTATTTCTAGACTTGCTTGAAATTGAAACCTTTAATTCACATTTTTTTTATACTCCACCCCACACTTAAATTCACAATATTTGTGAACTTGTAATGGAGATTGCACATAAAATATCATAATGGTTTTTAGTATTAATTTACAGTCTTTTTTTTTTTTTTTAGAACAGAGAAGGTTAAAATTGAGAAGTAACATTAGTTACACTAGATAAAATTAGTGACTGAAGCGAGGGTGGAACATCCTCTATCCAAACTCACATACCAGTGCTATCAAATGCTAATCTGCTCAAACAATGAGCTATAGAATTACCCTCTCGATAAATATGAGACACTGAAAAATACCAAAAGCTACCCAATAAATTGTGCAGCCAATGCAAGATGGCCATGCGAATAAAGAGCTGCACTAGGATAAATTACAGTCTCTTTGTTAATATCAACAAAAGTTTATTTATGTAATAATTTAAGGTAAAACAGAAAGGTGGTTGACCTAGAAAAGGCCACCCTTTCAAGGTGTGGAAGATTTTGATTTTACCATATATATGTAATAAACAGCAAACCACATGTATTGATTAAACCCGTGCTTTGTTGGTAATGAAAGGTGCACATAGGATGTTTGTATTTACAGTTCATTGCTTGACTCACTCAAACCACTGAGAGGTGAATATAAAATGTCTACATTTACAATTCATCCCATTACTCCTTCAACCATTGATCTAACCACCATACGAGCTTGAAAAATATGAAGTCCATTTTTTATATAACTAAATGTTTTTACATAATGTCAGATTTAATCCTAACAAACTAATATCATCACATTAATGTAAAAACAAACATAACTTATCTTACATCTCTGTCCTAAAACCACCACTCTAGTAATTCCATTACTCAATTCATCATACTCAAATTCTACCCAACCAAATCAATCAATCAAACATGGCCTAAGTTCCTAAAACACTCAATCACATCATCAACATACCCCGACCAACCTCAAATCATAAATCACACATAAGCGAGCCCACATGATTATTGTGTAACTCAGATCATTGTAAGTGCATTGCACGAAAATACTTGGCGATGAGCCTGGTAAGGGATGAACTTTCCTCATGCAAGGCAAAAAAAAGATCCAATCTTGACCAACAAAAATAAAATATTGAATGAAATACTGAATGAAATACTCCAAAGATCCTCCATTTGCTTAGGGATTGCATTAGTACATGCATTAGCACATTCTCTTGAATTGACAATCAAATGCCACAACATATGTTCAGCATCACCAAACTGCAAGTTACTATGAATTACACCATTTTTGTCATTTTATTCTACTTGAAAGCAATTCCATAAACGAGAGGGAATAGAATACAGGCAACAGACACGAAAGCCGTGTTTATGTCGACGGCAGAAAACCCTGCTTCAGATATACACTTTCCCGTTTTTCTTGTAAGGTGACACCCATCAGAGACACACTGTTGAAGTGGATCAAGAATGCCCTGTAGAAATTTGAGAATCGTACCATCTATCCAACCAAAACAAGAAAAAGAGAAAGAAAACCTTAAAAATGAACCAACTCAACAAAGTGGGGCAACAGTGACGAAGAGTTTCAAATTGAAATATAGAACTACAAGATTTTTACTTCGATCACATGAATTAAGATAATTAGTTCCATACCTTCTGCAGCCACATGCTCCACAAATAAGAAAAGACCACCCGGTTTAAGCACCCGCATCACCTCTGTGAATTCAATAGTATTTTCATTATAGAATGGCTTGATGGATCTTGAAATTTCGCAAAATTCATAAATCATATCCAAATAAATAAGGAAAAGTAGCTCATACTACATTCGAGTTAGGGCACTTGCAGTCAAATTTTAGTCCATCCAAGTTAAATGGCCACATAACCAACCTATAGAGGGGCATTTTGAAGCCTATTGAATTGAAAATTATTAGATTACGTTTTACATAACTTTTGGGATGGGTAAATTTCAAAGTATACACGCAAGATGACATTTTAGAGGTTATGTTTATTTATTGTGTCTAGTTTTTTTGTTGATTTCAATTCTAAGGATGGATTTGTGCCTATGTTGCATAAATAAAAAGGGCATAATTACATTAATGTGACAAAATAAAAGAATACGAGTTTCTCTTTCCAAATCATCTGTTTGTATGGCTTAATAGAGAGAAATGGGTAGAAATGGAGAAGGGTTAGTAGTTAGTTACCAGTTTCACCTTTACTTCTTTTAGGAATTAGTTGTCATTTTTGCCCTTATTTCTTACATTAAAAAGACTTTCTTTTCTTTCTTTTTTTTCCCTCTCCTTTATCTTTCACATACAAGAAGAGAGGATAATCCATCATCTTCTCGTTATCTCTACTCAACCAAACAAGCAAAGAGACCAGTACCACTATCCTATCTTTTCTTTTCTCTCTCCTACCTAATCATTTCTGTTCTTTTCACACCTAGTTTACCAAACTCACAAGTGTTCTGACCAATCACAATTCTTTTAGTTTTTGGGCCATCATGCAGTAAGTTTTAGCCAAAAACTGAATTTCTTCAATGTGTGCATTCTTCTTCAGAGTTTCGGGTTAAACTTGAAGAGGGAGAAGTTTTAATGACAAACTCAATATAGTTCAAAAAACAGAAAACTAATTCACTACTTGGAATTTTTGTGTCATATTATATATGCAAGTAGTTCACTGGAAAATGTTATGGTTCACTGAATTTCACTCCGAGATTGACCCTCTGTGAATATAAGGTATCTGCTTGAACTTCAATTTCTTAAGTAGACTAACTTGAGAAGAAAGTGAAAGTCACCCTAACTTACATACCTTTCAGCGTCTTATTAATGTCTTTTACAGAACACAGTACAACCGTTCCGACAACTGCATCAACGGAAGCATCACTTAATGGCAAAACCTCCGCAACCTGCACAAAATCAACAACGTTTAAGTCTAGAGAATTTTAACCTCCTAACCTGACACATAAATTTCTCGACTAACATATATAATTCAAGGAAGCAACCAATAATTTGGAATTTGGATCCAGTATAAGAGTAGGATATGACAAACATGCCTCCCCAAAAGGAAATGGGCTGAAGCACCGATAATAGGGTAGTAGTTTCACAACTCAATTAGTGAATTTCGTATAACATATATTCCTACCAAAATTTGTGGAACTTTTAAAATCCTGTAATTTGTTTTATTTCTACAATCCAAATCTCCATGCTCCTATAGTGAAAAACAATCACTTTGCTTGGTTGAAGTTTTTCAAAAAATACTTTTCAAAAATTTTATTTTTTTGTTTTTCATATTTTTTTTATTTTTATTGAATTTTTTTAATATTTTAGGCAATTTTTTTTTTAATTTTTAAACACACTTAACATAAATACACTTAAAAAATATAATTTTAGAGAAAAAGATCTTTAAAAAATTCCCTAAATATCAAAAATAGGAAAATTAAGTATAATTTTCGTATTTTTGTATATTTATTAATTTTTTGAAATATTTTTTTACAAATATTTTACTTTTAGATATATCTAAGTAAGATGCATTTAAAAAAATTAAAATAATGTTTAAAATTTTAAAAATATTTATTAAAATAAAAAAAAAACACAAAAAATAAAAAACTCAATTTTTAAAAAATTAAATTCAAAAAATTAAAACCAAACACACTCAATGATTTTTTTGTGGTGATGATTCATCACCAACAAGCTCTAAGAACACAACTCATCAAAGATACTTTCTACAATATTCAGTTATTCTTCTCTCTTCTCAACTAGATTTGTCGAAAAGAAGGTTAAATAGAAGGGAGGGGAAGAGGGGGTACAAAAATCAAACGCTTTAAGATGCAGTCAAAACTCTATGTCACTAGTCACATCAAGAAACCCACAAAACACACGAGGCTGAAATGTCACCACATGATAAAACAACTACGTTGATTTCTTTAACAGGAGTAATTATGAGCGCCCATGAGCTTAGGGGTGAGTAACGGTTTATCTGAACCGTTCAAATCGCTCAATCCGTCTAATTCGTATATAAATGGACGATTTTACAAACATAATGCGGATGAATGCGGTTTAAAATATGACAAATTTACAAGTTACGGGCGGGTCGCGATTTAAACCCACAACCCGCAAAACCGCCCGCACTTTAATTATTATTGTTATTATTATTTTTTTTTTTATATACCAACTTTGTAACTTTAACAGGAGCCCCATTATGTTCTCTATGACACTAAGATCCTTATTTTTAAATATTTCTCAACTTTCTTAATGCCGTAGAATTATCAAGTCTTAAACTTTATTTCTTATATATTTTCATTGGTGACTCATCCACTTTTTTCTAATAAAATTTTTCTTCTGGTGGTTGATGGAGCTTCTAGTTTGATTATTGATTACTGAACTGGCAATTCTAATTGCGTACAACCTTTAATGCATCGATATACATTTTTTTATGGGAAAATGCTAGTGTAGGGTCTCTTTGTTTTAGGTACTTTCATTTAATCCATTGATATTCAATTTTTATTTGTAAACTCATCAGAAAATTGTTGTCAAATAATCACAAATATATAAAATGAATCTGATGCCTAAATTCAATGGGAAAAAAAACTCAAAAATTAATTTTTTTTAAAAAAAGTGTAAATCGCAAACCGCCCGCAACCACCCGCACATCCGCAAACCCTATCCGCATAAACCGCAAACCGCACTGCGGGCAGTTGCGGGTTGATTTTTTCCCAAACCGCATAGATGCTAGCGGGCAAAACCGAACCGTAAACCGCAAAAAACCGATCCGCGAACACCCCTACACGTGCACACCCACAAGGCTATCACTGAAATAATTGACTGATTGCAACTGGTAAGAAAACATCAATGAAGCAGTGAAGTGGAGAAGAGATGAGTAAAAGTAGAAAAAATTCAGATGATGTAGTCATACAAAAAGGCACAAGAATCACAAATGTAATGAGTGGGCAATACAATAGAAGAGAACAAAGAAACAGACACCTTCAAAACAAATAAGGTGCGGTGCCAGTTTAAAAAAACAAAAAGAAAAAAGAAAAAGACGAAGAAGAAGATGTCATCTAAGACGGCTCAGTTATATTCAATACAAACATTATAAGCAACAGTTTAGAGGAGTGGTTTGCCCAAAGTTTGCGATGCCCAAAGAAGACATAATTACCACATGCAGTCACCTCAAGCCCAAGAGCAATCGTGGGAGTCTGGGACCATAACTTTCAAGCACTAACATCTCTCATCAGGAAACTTAGGAGCTAATTAAACAACATTCAGCAACACAAGGGCAAAAAGGAAACTCAATTGCAATATTTCACATTTCACATATTTAACGAAATGAACATTTCAGCAACGCAGAGCACCTTCTTACTAAAGATTTAACCATTGAACATTGAAATTAAGAACAGAAGACAAAAAATGACACCAGTGAAGAAATTGCAGAACAGTCTAAATATGTCCCTTTTTTTCCTTTTTTTTTGCTTTTTCCCTGCTTTTTTGGTGCCTAACTACATAATTTCCAGGAAGATTATACTGTCTTTGGAAGTTAAACGAGATTCAATGTAAATAGTGTCATATGGAATGAAAAAAGTACCGCGTGTATGAATTTAAAATTTTCCGGAGGTAGGCCAGCAGCTGCTGCAGCTGCCTGTGCATACTTCTCCATCTTTTTGTTGGGATCTATGCCAAAAACACGAACACCGTTATCGCTGGCATAATATTTGAGATTAGGACCTGTCCCAATGCCAAGCTCCAACACTGTCTTATCCTTTCCCCTCAAATTTGTAAAGATCTGAGTCTTAAAACGTGCAGCCTTACCAAAGAAGAGGTGCATATTAGATATAAACATGGTTGAAATTGCAGTAACAAGAACGCGGGGCAAAATCAATACTTGCACACCCTGGTCTAATTGTTAAACAAAAAAAAAAAAAAAAGGCACTAACCTGTGCCTCATATGCTTTACTGCCCTTAGCCATGACAAATGCAAATAATTCCTCATACCAATCTGGCCTTGGAGGGTGAATACTGTTCAGCACATCCTGTATATGCAACGGGTCATTTTTAATGCTTTGCTGCTGCTAAAACATTTGATGCTTGGTTGAGAAATTCAAGTTTGCTTAACAAATTTCATAATTGTGTGGCCAAACATTTGATGTTAGAGTATGATGCAAGTCAACAACATAGATACACGACTTCCACATAAACTTGGTGGGTATATTAATATTTATCAAAACCTTCCCCTACCATGAATTCCATGTATAAAGAAAGCAGTGGAAAGAGTAATGAACCTTGGGATAATCTTCATCGAGATGCGGAGGAGAAGCAGAGGAAGGAGGAATTGGTGAGGAACTGGTTCCAATTTCTTCCATTAAGCGTCTTCTTCAGCAATAGCAGAATCTGTGGGGGCATAAAGAGTCCGGAGAGAGAGAGAGAGAAAGAGTAATTTTGATCTTCACCCGCTAGTGTATATATATATACAAGAGAGTTCTTACCAAGGTTGAATCTTCTTGCATGCTTAACCATTAAGGAATGGTTGAGTCTGAAAGTAAACGGTACTTTACACAAGATCAAGATGGCATAAGAAAAAGGGTGGCCGGCCATCTATTCATTAATACCGGTTAGCGCGCACGACATATGTGTAAAATTTAAATAAGTACAAATAAAATTAAATATTTATTATATATGTTGTGTTATTTAAATAGTAAGGATCTTTCTTCAGTTGATATAAGTTTAAAGTTTAAGTTCTCATCTATTTATTTATTTATTTAAAATAAAGAATAAACATGTGACAACATAATAAATCAAAATTTCAGAGTTTATATATAGTATAGATAGGCGCATCTCTTCTTTTCTTTAAAAAAAAAAAAAAATTAGAGAAATTTATAATTTTAATTATGGGTAAATTATATTTTACCCTTTTGGGTTTGATCATTTTTCCACTTTGATTTTTAAAATTTATTTTTCTTCATTTTGATCTTTTATGTTTCAAGTTTTTTTTTAATTTACTCTTGAAGCTAATTTTTGTTTAAAATTAGACAAAAAATACCATAATAATTGTCACATAATATAAAAAATATATTATTAAATTAGAATTTAAATTTATGTTAGAGATGTGAGTTATATATAATAAATTATTTTTATGTCACGTGACGTGACTGCTAATGTGTCATTTTCTATCTTATTTTTAACAGAAATTAACTTTAATAGTAAATTAGGAACAACTTAAAAAATGAACAATCAAAGTGAGAAAAAATAAACTTTAAAGGTCAAAGTAAAAAATTGATTAAACATAAGGGACGCAAAGTGTAATTTATCCTTTTAATTATTAATAGTTATAATATTTACTATATTTTTGTAAATAGATTTTCTCATTACCACGGATTGGTAAATTATCCCCTGTTCCAAAATAAATATGATTTAGGTGAGAGTTCCAAAATAAACATGATTTAGGTGAGAGTCATCCGATTGTTAATCCAATCTCACCACCGTTAGACAAAAACAAACAAAGCCTAAAGTATTGTTGAAACCGGTGGAGGTATATCATAGGTTCCATTCCAACTAAATCTTTCATTTGTAAATCAATAAAAAAATTTAGATTGACCCAACATTCATAATAACATGAATTTAATATAGGTAACTTCTATGCAAGTAATAATAGCTGAATTTATTATTTAACAAGTCTTATAATAATTAATGACTTTTTTCATTAAATATTATAAAAAAAAATCACTAATTATTAATTTTCAAGAATGATATTAAATTTTTATCATAAAAAATGTCACTAATTATAAGTTTTAGAGATAATTTTAAAAAACTGTCACGAAAAAATAACTAATTTTCAATTTCCAATGACAGTTTAAAAAATTTGTTATAGAAAAACGTCACTAATGGTAAATTTAAAGGACAATTTATAAAAATCGTGAGAAAAAAACACTAATTATTAATTTTTAGTGATATATGTAAAAAATTATTACAAAAAATTATTTAAAAAATCAATCAATCAAACATGGCCTAAGTTCATGATTATCAACTCGAATAGTTCAGCTGATCACTTCTCTATACTTTTATAAATTTCAAAAGAAGTGAGTGTAAATTTACCCTTTTATTTTATTATTATTATTATTATTTTTTTAATTTTGTGCAAGAATTTAAACCAGTCAAAGGCAATTTTTTTTACCTTTTCAATTTAAATTCATGATTATCAACTCGAATAGTTCAGTTGATCACTTCTCTATACTTTTATTTCGGAGGTCAATGATCAATTATTGTAAAGACAAAGATTAATTTGTTTTTCATTACAAGAAGAAATTGCTTTGTGTTCCTCAATTAATTATATATGATGCTCTAATTTGAAATTACTTACTTAAATGATGATAAGATCCATCACTTTTTTATCAGTGTTTTTAAAGATAACATGAAATGTATCAATTAATAAATAATACAAACATTGCTTCAAATATAATTAATAATTTTCCAATTATACAAGTTTTTGTTATATTAAATTTCCTATCAATTGTCACAACAAAAATATATATTAAAACTCATGATACTTTATTTTAAAGTTTACTGCTTACACTGTTCAATATTAACAAAATATCATTTTTGTTTTCATAACCTGCCATTGTTATTCACAAAAAAAAAAAAACTGCCATTGTTGCTCAACAGCTCCCTCCCTTCCTCCATCCTTTTAAATATTTAAGCCTCATTTTTATGAACATTTTCAACATTAATTGATATTTTTTGCACATCTTAAATTTGGAAACTTATTTTTCAAACAATATCACATAATTACAAAACCATGAAATTGTGAATTATGTAGTTTATATTATTCATTAAGGATAGTTTAGTACTTTAGATTATTAGGGTTTCGTTTCATTCTGTTGCTATATATATTTTGTAATTCTATTGATTAATTAATACACAAGTTTTGCCATATGTTATCATGGTATCAGAGCAAGGTTACAAACAGTAGCATACCTCGCAGGTCATCATCGGCCATCGCAGCTCTGTCTCTCATCGCACATTGCAGCTCTGTCTCTCATCGCACATCGCAGCTCTCTCTCCTTCAATCGCAAGGCCATCGCAGCTCTGTCTCTCTCTTCGCAAGGTCATCGAAGCAGCTCTTCTCGCAGCTCTGCCTCTCTCTTCGCAAGGTCGTCATCGAAACAGCTCGTCTCACTAGCTGGTTTTGGTTCTGGTTCATTCGGAGACCTAGGTTGGGTATCTCGCTGATCTTCTCTCTATTTTGACCTAGCTTTCGTAAACGGTGAACCTCCATCACTGCTCTCTGGCTTATAGGTTGCCGTGGTTATGAGAAGAGTGCATTGCTACTCTTGACAGGTCATTCATCTCTCTCTCTCTCTCTTCTCTGCTGCCTTTCACTCTGTTTTGAATGCACTGTAGTTTGGGTATACAATATGACTGATGATAAATTGCAAGCTATTACTACTAAATTAGATGGTACCAATTATTCTTATTGGTCTCATGTGATGAAAAATTTTATAATGGGTAAAGGTATGTGAAATTATATTATTGGTATGACTATTAGACCTGTGGAATCTCAAGAAACTGAGGCCGATGTTGCTAAATGGGATAAGGAAAATGCACAAATTCTTACTTGGTTTCATAATTCAGTTCAAACTACCATTGGTATGAATTTTTCCAAGTATTCTACTTCTAAACAAGTTTGGGACTATTTGAAGACTATGTACCTTGAGTCTAACTTTGCAAAGCAGTATGAACTTGAGATGTCTATTCGCAGTGCTAGTCAGAAAGATAAGTCCATTCAGGAGTTCTACAATGAGATGACTACTTATTGGGATCAGCTTGCTTTGATGGAACCGTCCGATTTGCAGTTACTTGACAGTTATATCAAGTATCGGGAGAAACAATATCTTGTTCAATTTCTCATGGCCCTTCGTGATCAATTTGAGCCACTTCGGGGAGCTATTCTTCGTCGGTCTCCCTTGCCTTCTGTGGATGGTGCTGTCCGTGAGCTTATTGCGGAAGAAACTCGGTTTAAGGTGGCTCATGGTACTCCTGCTTCCCAGTCAGTTTTTGCCACTCCTCCGCTTTCGCCCACCCCATCTTCTCATTTATTTCAAGTTACTGGTAAGCCCAAGCCTCGAGTTTCCATGGATGAATGCAGCTTCTGTCATCAGAAAGGCCATTGGAAACATGCATGCCCTAAACTTTTGCAGCCCAAGGGTCGTTCATCTGGTTCACCATTCACTAAGCCGACATTTTCAGGATCTCGCTCATCTGCCGCCTTTTCTGCACCAGTTTCTGAGAATGATCCATCTTCCAATATGCAGTCTATGTTTGAGCAGTTCAAGTCTTTCATGGTGGCCAATCCAAATCTTTCGTCCCAAGCCTCCGCTATGACTACCACTCAATTCGGTTTGTCTGGTTCATCCTCTTCAGGTAATATCCATACTTCGTGGATCTTTGATTCTGGTTGTTCACATCATATGACCCCTGTTGCATCTCTCCTCAGTAATTGTGTCTCTCCTTCTTCTTCTATCATTATTGCTACTGCTAATGGTTCTTCTATGCCTGTACACTCTGTTGGTTCTATTTCCTGTTCCCATTTGTCTCTTTCTCCTGTATTTTATGTGCCTCACCTCTCACTCAGTCTTATTTCTATTAGTCAATTATCTGATTCCGGTTTTAATGTTGTTTTCTCTTCTTCTCATTGTGTTGTACAAGACCGGGTATCCAAGAGGCAGATTGGGATCGGGCGTAGAGTTGGAGAACTATATATCTTGGAGAGCTTGCATGTTCCTCTAGAAGTGTCTTCTACTGCATTGTCTTCTTTTTGTTTAAACAATAAGTCATCTTTGTTTTATATTTGGCATTCTAGGTTAGGTCATCTGTCGAGTGATTGGTTGAGGATGTTAGTTAGGTCTGGACATTTAGGCAATTTTCCCATTAGTGATATTTCTGAGTGTCGTGGTTGTAAACTGGCTAAAATGTCTGCTCTTCCTTTTAATAAAAGTAGTTCTATTTCATCTTCTCCTTTTCAATTGGTCCATATTGATGTTTGGGGTCCTTCTCCTATAGTTACCAAAGGTGGTTTGCAATATTATGTAGCTTTTGTGGATGATTACAGTCGGTTTACTTGGGTTTATTTGATGACTCGAAAATCTGATTTTTACAAAATATATTCTAATTTTCACTCCATGATTCGCACTCAATTTTCTACCACCATTAAAATTCTTCGTTCTGATTTGGGGGGTGAGTATTACTTGTCTGAGTTTGAGGAGTATTTAGCTACTCATGGAACTATTCATCAGTCTTCGTGTTCTGACACTCCTGCACAAAATGGTCGAGCTTAGCGCAAACGTCGCCATCTCCTTGATACAACTCGCTCTTTTTTGCTCTCATCTTTTGTCCCTTCTGTTTTTTAGGGAGAAGCTGTGCTCACTGCTGCATATCTTCTCAATCGGATGCCTACTCCTCTTCTCTCAGGCTCATCTCCGTATGAGAGTCTTTTTGGTGTTACTCCCAATTATTCTCTTCTTCGCATTTTTGGTTCTGCGTGCTTTGTGCTCCTTCCTAAACGGGCGCGCTCCAAGCTTAGTTCTCGTTGTGTCCTATGTGTCTTTTTAGGGTATGGCATTAATCAGAAAGGTTATCGGTGCTATGATCCTGCCACCAAAAAGCTATATGTGTCTAGGCATGTCACTTTTTTAGAAAAACTACCCTACTATACTATACCTTCCACCCCTGTTCCTATTACTAAGGATGAATTGGTTCATGTTGACCCATTTCCTCCTAATGTTTCTCCTGATGAGTTTGTTTCTGACCTTGAGGTCTCTACTTTGCCTCTTACTAGCACTTCTAATACCTCTCCAGCTACCTCATCTCCAGCTCCCGCTTCTCCTGCTCCTCTTATTGTTTATCAACGCCGCAAAGCACTTCCGAGCTCACCTGTCTCTAGCTCTACTGTCCCTCCAGCTGTTTCTTTGGATCCCGCTCCTTCTGCACATCGCTTCCCAAAGCGAGATCGTCATCCTCCGAACTGGTATGGTTTTGGTAATACATGTTTTTCCCTTTCCTATCAGTCTTTTCTTTCTTGTCTTCATACATATTTTGAGCCCAGGTCTTACAAGGAAGCTTGTCATGATCCCAATTGGATTGCTGCCATGAATGATGAGTTAACTGCTTTGGCTAACACTCAGACTTGGGATTTGGTTCCATTACCTGCTGACAAGAATGTTGTAGGCTGTAAATGGGTCTATAAGGTCAAAGCCCTTTCTGATGGGTCTTTGGAACGGTACAAAGCTCGTCTAGTTGCCCAAGGCTTTTCTCAGGAGTATGGGATTGATTACGATGAGACTTTTGCCCCCGTTGCCAAGATGACTACTGTTCGTACTCTTATCTCTGTTGTCGCTGCCCATCATTGGCCCCTGTTTCAACTAGATGTCAAAAATGCTTTTTTGAATGGGCATCTTGCTGAAGAAGTGTATATGCGCCCTCTACCAGGTCTTTCTCACCCTTCCGATGTTGTTTGTCTTCTTCGCCGTGCTCTATATGGTCTCAAGCAGTCTCTTCGTGCTTGGTATGAGCGATTTCACTCTGTTGCCCTTCAGCTTGGTTTTCGCCCTAGTCATCATGATTGCGCTCTCTTTGTTCGACGCACTTCTGTTGGGCTTATTCTCCTTCTCTTATATGTGGATGATATGATCATCACTGGCTCTGATTACAGTACTATTGAGGAGGTTAAGCATCAGTTGTTTCAGGAGTTCGAGATGAAGGATTTGGGGTTTCTTCGGTATTTTCTTGGTATTGAGGTTGCTACTTCTCCTACTGGTTATCTTCTCTCTCAGACTAAATATGCCCGTGATATTCTTTCTCGTGCCAATCTCACTGATGAGAAAATTGTTGACACTCCTCTTGAGTTGCATGCTAAGTTTTCTGCTTCTGATGGCGTTCCTCTTGAGGATCCCACTTTGTATCGCGAGTTGGTTGGGTGCCTTGTTTATCTCACCGTTACTCGTCCGGATATCTCCTATGCTGTGCACATTCTCAGTCAGTTTGTTTCTGCTCCTCGTTCCACACACTGGGCTGCCTTACTTCGTACTTTGCGCTACCTTCGTGGCACTTTGTTGCAATGTTTGCTGTTATCTGCCTCTTCGGACTTGACTCTCCGTGCCTATGCTGACGCTGATTAGGCAGGTGACATCTCTGATCGCAAATCCACTTCTGGTCTTTGTGTTTTCCTTGGCGATTCCCTCATATCCTGGAAGAGTAAGAAACAATCTGTCGTTGCTCGTTCCACTGCTGAGGCTGAGTATCGTGCCATGGCTTATGCTACTTCCGAGATCATTTGGCTTCGCTGGCTTCTTTCTGATATGGGTGTCTCTCTTTCTGATCCAACTCAGTTGTATTGTGATAATCAGAGTGCTGTCCAGATTGCCCATGAGCGGACAAAGCATGTTGAAATAGATTGTCACTTTGTCAGACAGCATCTTCAGGCTGGCACTATTACTCTCCCTTTTGTTCCCTCATCTCTTCAGTTGGCCGATTTTTTTACGAAGACTCATACTGTTGCTCGTTTTCGTTTTCTTCTTGGCAAACTTTCGATGCTTCCTGCACTCGCATCCTCAGTTTGAGGGGGGGTGTGAATTATGTAGTTTATATTATTCATTAAGGATAGTTTAGTACTTTAGATTATTAGGGATTATTAGGGTTTCGTTTCATTCTATTGCTATATATATTTTTTAATTCTATTGATTAATTAATACACAAGTTTTGCCATATGTTATCAGAAATATGTCTTTTTAAGTGCTGAACTGCATTATCTAACATTCCCTTATTCATAGACTTGTTTGAAATTGAAACCTTTAATTCACATTTTTTTTATGCTCCACCCCACACTTAAATTCACAATATTTGTGAACTTGTAATGGAGATTGCACATAAAATATCATAATGGCTTTTAGTATACATTTACAGTTTTTTATTTATTTATTTATTTTTTAGAACAGAGAAGGTTAAAATTGAGAAGCAGCATCAGTTACACTAGATAAAATTAATGATTGAAGTGAGACTGGAACATCCTCTATCCAAACTCACATACCAGTGCCATCAAACGCTAATCTGCTCAAACAATGAGCTATAGAATTACCCTCTCGATAAACATGAGACACTGAAAAAGACCAAAAACTACCCAATATATTGTGTGCAGCCAATGCAAGATGGTCATATGGATAAAGCGCCGCACCAGGATAAATTACAGCCTCTTTGTTAATATCAACAAAAGTTTATTTATGTAATAATTTAAGGTAAAACAGACAGGTGGTTGACCTAGAAGAGGCCACCCTTTCAAGGTGTAGAAAATTTTGATTTTACCATATGTAATAAACAGCAAACCACATATATTGATTAAATCCATGTTTTGTTGGTAATGAAAGGTGCACATAGGATGTTCGTATTTACAGTTCATTGCATGACTCACTCAAACCACTGAGAGGTGAATATAACATGTCTACATTTACAATTCATCCCATTACTCCTTCAACCACTGATCTAACCACCATACGGGCTTGAAAAATATGAAGTCAATTTTTTATATAACTGAATGTTTTTACATAATGTCATAGATTTGATCCTAACAAACTAGTATCATCACATTAATATATAAACAAACATAATTTATCTTACATCTCTGTCCTAAAACCACCACTCTAGTAATTCCATTACTCAATTCATCATACTCCAATTCTACCTAGCCAAATCAATCAATCAAACATGGCCTAAGTTCCTAAAACTCTCAATCACATCATCAAGATACCCAACCAACCTCAAATCACAAATCACACATAAGTGAGCCCACATGATTATTGTGTAACTTAGATCATTACAAGTGCATTGCATGAAAATACATGGCAATGAGCCTAGTAAGGGATGCACTTTCCTCATGCAAGGCAAAAAAACACAGGTCCAATCTTGACCAACAAAAATAAAATATTGAATGAAATACTGAATGACAATACACTGACAAATACTGAATGGAAGCAATACACTGACAAATAATGAATGAAATACTCCAAAGATCCTCCATTTGCTTAGTGATTGCATTAGTACATGCATCAGCACATTCTCTTGAATTGACGATCGAATGCCGCAACATATGTTCAGCATCACCAAACTGCAGGGTTACTATGAATTACACCTTTTTTGTCATTTTATTCTACTTGAAAGCAATTCCGTAAACATGAGGGCCTAGAATACAGGCAACAGACACGAAAGCTGTGTTTATGTCGACGGCAGAAAACCCTGCTTCAGATATACACTTTCCCGTTTTTCTTGTAAGGTGACACCCATCAGAGACTGTCTGCTGAAGAGGATCAAGAATGCCCTGTGCAAATCTGAGAATCGTACCATCTATCCAACCAAAACAAAAAAAAAAAAGAGAAAGAAAACTTTAAAAATGAACCAACTTAGCAAAGTGGGGCAACGGTGACGGAGAGTTTCAAATTGAAATATAGTCCTACAAGATTTTTACTTTGATCACATGAATTAAGATAATCAGTTCCATACCTTTTGCAGCCACATGCTCCACAAATAAGAAAAGACCACCCGGTTTAAGCACCCTCATCACCTCTGTGAATTCAATAGTATATTCATTATAGAATGGCTTGATAGATCTTGAAATTTCACAAAATTCATAAATCATATACAAATAAATAGGGAAAAGTATCTCATACTACAATCGAGTTTGGGCACTTGCAGTCAAATTTTAGTCCATCCAAGTTAAATGGCCACATAACCAACCTATAGAGGGGCATTTTAAAGCCTATTGGATTGAAAATTATTAGATTATGTTTCACATAACTTTTGGGATGGGTAAATTTCAAAGTATACACGCAAGATGACATTTCAGAAGTAATGTTCATTTAATGTGTCTAGTATTTTTGTTGATTCCAATTCTAAGGATGGATTTGTGCCTATGTCGCATAAATGAAAAGGGCATAATTACATTAATGTGACAAAATAAAAGAATACAGAGTTTCTCTTTCCAAATCATCCGTTTGTATGGCTTAATAGAGAGAAATGGGTAGAAATGGAGAAGAGTTAGTAGTTAGTTACCAGTTTCACCCCTACTTTTTGCCCTTATTTCACACATTAAAAAGGCTTTCTTATTTTTTTTTTCCCCTCTCCTTTATCTTTCCCATACAAGAAAAGAGGATAATCCATCATCTTCTCCTTATCTCTCCTAAACCAAACAAGCAAAGAGACCAGTACCACTATCCTATCTTTTATTTTCTCTCCTACCTAATCATTTCTGTTCTTTTCACGCCTAGTTTACCAAAACTCACAAGTGTTCTGACCAATTACAATTTTTTTAGTTTTTGGGCCATTATGCAGTAAGTTTTAGCGATAAACTGAATTTCTTCAATGTGTGCATTCTTCTTCAGAGTTTCTGGTTAAACTTGAAAAGGGGGAGGTTTTAATGACAAACTCAATATAGTTCAAAAACCAGAAAACTGATTCACTACTTGAAATTTTTGTGTCATATTATATATGCAAGTAGTTCACTGGAAAATGTTATGGTTCATTGAATTTCACTCAGAGATTGATCCTCTGTGAATATAAGGTATCTGCTTGAACTTCAATTTCTTAAGTAGACTAACTTGAGAAGAAAGTGAAAGTCACCCTAGCTTACATACCTTTCAGTGTCATATTAATGTCTTTTACAGAACACAGTACAAGCGTTCCGACAACTGCATCAACAGAAGCATCACTTAATGGCAAAACCTCCCCAACCTGCACAAAATCAACAATGTTTAAGTCTAGAGAATTTTACCTCCTAACTTGACACATAAATTTCTAGAGTAACATATATAATTCAAGGAAGCAACCAATAATTTGGAATTTGGATCCAGTATAAGAGCAGGATATGACTAACATGCCTGCAAATGGGCTGAAGCACCAATACTAGGGTAGTAGCTTCACAACTCAATTAGTGAACTTCGTCTAACATATATTCCTACCAAAATTTGTTGAACTCTTAAAATCCTGTAATATGTTTTATTTCTACAATACAAATCTCCATGCTCCTACAGTGAAAAACAATGATTTTTTGGGGGTGATGGTTCATCACCTACGAGCTCTAAGAACACAACTCATCAAGGATGCTTTCTACAACATTCAGTTATTCTTCTCAAGTTGGAACTAGAATTAGTTGAAAAGAAGGTTAACAGGGAGGGAGGGGAAGCGGGGGTACACGGATTTTAGGTTTGTACAAAAATCAAATGCTTTAAGTTGCAGTCCTAGAACTCTATGTCGCTAGTCACATCAAGAAACCCACAAAACACACAAGGCTCAACATGGAAACTCAATTGCAATATTTCACATATCACATATTTAACGAAATGAACATTTCAGCAACGCAGAACACCTTCTTACTAAAGATTTAACCATTGAACATTGAAATTAAGAACAGAAGACAAAAAATGACACCGGTGAAGAAATTGTTTTAAATATGTCCTTACTACTTTTTAGGTGCCTAACTACATAATTTCCAGGAAGATTATACTATCTTTGGAAGATAAACGAGATTCAATGTAAATAGTGTCATATGGAATGAAAAAAGTACCGCGTGTATGAATTTAAAATTTTCTGGAGGTAGGCCAGCAGCTGCTGCAGCTGCCTGTGCATACTTCTCCATCTTTCTGTTGGGATCTATGCCAAAAACACGAACACCATTATCACTGGCATAATATTTGAGATTAGGACCTGTCCCAATGCCAAGCTCCAACACTGTCTTATCCTTTCCCCTCAAATTTGTAAAGATCTGAGACTTAAAACCCGCAACCTTACCAAAGAATAGGTGCATATTAGATATGCACATGGTTGAAATTTCAGTAACAAGAACGTGGGGCAAAATCAATACTTGCACACCCTGGTCTAATTGTGAAAAAAAAGAAAAAAGAAAAAAAAAAAAAAAGCACTAACCTGTGCCTCATATGCTTTACTGCCCTTAGCCATGACAAATGCAAATAATTCCTCATACCAATCTGGCCTTGGAGGATGAATACTGTTCAGCACATCCTGTATATGCAACGTGTCATTTTTAATGCTTTGGTGCTGCTAAAACATTTGATGCTTGGTAGAGAAATTCAAGTTTGCTTAACAAATTTCATAATTGTGTGGCCAAACATTTGATGTTAGAGTATGATGCAAGTCGACAACATAGATACACGACTTCCACATAAACTTGGTGGGTATATTAATATTTATCCAAACCTTCCCCTGCCATTAATTCCAAGTATAAAGAAAGCAGTGGAAAGAGTAATGAACCTTGGGATCATCTTCATCGAGATGCGGAGGAGAAGCAGTGGAAGGAGGAATTGGTAAGAAACTGGTTCCAATTTCTTCCATTAAGCGTTTTCTTCAGCAATAGCAGAATCTGTGGGCGCATAAAGAGTCCGGAGAGAGAGAGAGACCGTAATTTTGATCTTCACCCGCTAGTATATATATACAAGAAAGTTCTTACCAAGGTTGAATCTTCTTGCATGCTTAACCATTAAGGAATGGTCCATTAAGGAATGGTTGACTGTGTAAGTAGAAGCAGTGGCGGCTCCACGGCATCCACAGGGTATTCAGAATACCCTCAAATTTGAAATTTTTTTTGGGTTTAGTTTAGTTTTGAATACCCAATCCAAAATTTGAATACCCAATCCCAAGATGGTGGAATAGCCTCTGACCCACTTGGCCCATTTGTCTAAACAAATAATGAAACCTCTAGCCCACGTAACTACTTAGCCCATTGGCCAAAAGAAATAACCCTCTAGCTCACTTAGCCCCTTAACCTATTTGCCTAAACAAATAATAAAATCCAAAAGAATTGCAATGAGATATATATATATATATATTATATATAGGCACGAATCTGTTGCTTGGAAGAATAAAGTCAAAAAGTGTAGTTAGTTAGGGCAAAAAGTGTAGTTAGGGCACGAATCTGCTGCTTGGGGGAGGTTCAACGCTGCTGTCGTTTTGTCTCTCTCAATCTCTCCCTCTCTTTTCGCGGTCCCCCCCTTTTCTCTTTCTGTGGGTGGTCCCCCTCTGTCTTTCATTGTTGCCCATGGAATATGGATCGTGGATGTTGGTATTGAATGAAGATGAAGTGGTTGCTGTCATACTTTGTTGTTGCTAACTGATTGTTAAGAAAAAGGCAAAAAACAATTTGGGAATTATATCTCATCAGGTATTATTTTTTTATCTCTATAATATTAAAATTTATTTAAACTTGATACTATAAACAAAACCTTCCATCCATATATAATTAATTTTATAGTTATGCATGTTAATATAATATTTGGGGATTATACTTTGTTGTCATCAGGTATAATATTTTTTTAAGTTTCTTCACTTTATTTGTTTTAAAAATTAAATAGGAGCTGAAATTTTATAATCAATTTATTTATACTCTTGTATTTATTTTTTTTCTATGGTTTATTTAGATAGCTCTATTTTTTGTGTGGATATTTTTAGGTGCATCCTACTCTTTTGTTTAGTTCTCGAATTATGGATAAATTTCTGAAAAGAAAATCAACTATTGTACAAGATTCATCTCAATCCCAAGAAACTTGTGGTGATAGGCACATTCAAGATTCTTGGAAGCAAATTCCTGTTGACTTGAACAACCTTCCTTCTGATCCAAGATTACGATAAAAAATTTTGTCATATCATCCTAATGATAGGGACGAAATAAGAAGAACATATTTACAAAAAGGACCCTATCAACCTCTTAGCCACAATTTCCCTCAAAGAGATATTAGTGGGGTTATGCGTCGATTTAATTCTGCTTAGTTTAAAGAATACAAGAATTGGTTGGAATATAGTATTGAAAAAGATGCAGCATTTTTTTTATGTTGTTACTTGTTTAGGCCCGATTTAGGAAAGGGATGTGATACTTTTGTAACAGAGGGATTTAAAATTTGGAATATGAAAAACAAGTTACAAATTCATGTTGGAGGTGTTAATAGTGCTCACAACCAAGCTGTGAAGAAGTGTGAAGATCTTATGAAGCAAAAGCAACACATTCAAAGTGTTTTTCTTAAGCAGTCAAATCAAGAAAAAATTGAATACCGGACTCGCTTAAATGCAACTATTGATTGCATACGATTCCTTTTGCGTCGAGGGTTGGCTTTTCGTGGTCATGATGAATCTGATGATTCAAGTGACAAAGGAAATTTCCTTGAACTTCTACAATTTTTGGCGGATCATAATGAATCTATCAATAAAGTTGTATTAGGGAATACTCCTAAAAATAATAAGCTAACTCACCATGATATTCAGAAAGACATTGTGAATGCTGCTGCATGTGAGACTATCAATGCTATCATAAAGGATTTGGACAATGAGTTTTTTTCAATTTTAGTTGATGAGTCTCATGACATATCAGTTAAAGTACAAATGGCAGTTGTTCTACGTTATGTGGACAAAAAGGGCATTGTTATAGAGCGGTTTCTTGGTATTGTACATGTATCAAATACAACCGCTTTATCACTTAAAGCAGCAATTGAATCCTTATTTTGTCGGCATGGATTAAGTATATCAAAACTACGAGGGCAAGGCTATAATGGAGCCAGCAATATGCAAGGTGAATTCAATGGTCTTAAAGCTTTAATTTTGAGGGAGAATAAATCTGCATTTTATGTTCATTGTTTTGCCCATCAACTTCAATTGACTCTTGTAGCTGTTGCTAAAAAGCACATTGACGTTGCTGAACTTTTTTGCTCTGTTGCTAACATAGTGAATGTTGTTAGTGGCTCTTGCAAGAGACGAGATGCTCTTAGAGATGCGCAATTTGCTAAAATAACAGAAGCACTAGACAATGGTGAACTTAGAAGTGGGCGAGGTTTGAATCAAGAGACTAGTCTTAAACGTGCTGGTGATACACGTTGGGGATCACATTTTGGGACAATTATCAACTTGATTTTGATGTTCTCTTATTCGATTGATGTACTTGAGATTATTGAAGAGGATGGCTTACAACCCGAGCAAAAAGTTAAAGCTCGTTCTATCATGAAGTTAATGCTATCTTTTGAATTTTCCTTTACTTTACACTTGATGAAAAATATTTTAGGGATTACAAATGTGTTGTCGTTAGCATTGCAAAAGAAAAATCAAGATATTGTCAATGCTATGACACTTGTTAAAGTATCTAAGCAACGATTGCAGATGATGAGAGATGATGAATGGGAATCTTTATTGACTGAAGTGTCTTCATTTTGTAACAAACATGAGATTTCTATTCCAAATATGGATGAAATATTTGTAGTTAGTGGGCGGCCACGACGCAAAGCTCTACAAATTGCAAATTTACATCATTATCAAGTTGAGCTATTCTACACAGTCTTAGATATGCAACTTCAAGAGCTTAACAATCGCTTTTCAGAAGCAAATACTGAGTTACTTCTTTGTATGGCTTGCTTGAATCCTAGTAAATCATTCTTTGCTTTTGATAAGCATAAGTTGATTGTTGATTCGTCTTGCAAAGTTCTATCCATATGATTTTTCTGCAACAGATTTAATGGTCCTTGACATCCAACTTCAAAACTACATTGTTGATATGCGCTTAAGTGAAGACTTTTTAGAACTTAAAGGAGTTGATGATCTTGCTATAAAGTTGGTGGAGACAGATAAACATGTGATATATCCATTAGTCTATTTCCTTGTGAAATTAGCATTGACTCTACCTGTCGCGACAGCAACAGTGGAAAGAAGTTTTTCAACAATGAAGTATATAAAGAGTAATTTGCGTAACCGAATGGGAGATCAGTGGATGAATGATTGTTTGGTTACATACATTAAAAGAGATGTATTTGATAGCATTGATAATGAGGAGATTATGCAATGTTTTCAAAATATGAAATCTCATTGAGGGCAATTGTAATATTTTATCTAATTGCAAGTTGTTTTGATGGCAATTGTAATATTTTATCTAATTGCAAGTTTTTTTTTTTTTTGTCAAAACTTTAATATTAATATATTATAGTTCTCTTTTATATTTGTTTTTTTAATACAGTTGTTAGATTTTAAGTTACTTAATGAATACCCTAATTAAAATTTCTGGAGCCGCCACTGAGTAGAAGGTACTTTACACAAGATCAACATGGCATAAGAAAAAGGGTGGCCGGCCATCTCTTCCTTAATAGCGGTTAGCACAAGATACGTTTACAATTTAAATAAGTAAAAATAAAATAAATATTTATTATATATATTATGTTAATTAAGTGGTAAGAATCTTTTTCTCTTTTCCTTTTCTTTCTTTCTTTTTTTTTTTTCTTTTCACTTGATATAAGTTCAAAGTTTATTTCCTTTCATCTATCTTTTTTTTTTATTATTATTTTAAATAAAAAAATAGATACATGGCAGCATAATAAATCAAAATTTCAAGACACCATAAGGTGTTCACTTTATATATGGTATAGATATGCGCATCTCTTCTTTTCAAAAAAAAAAAAAAGAAAAGAAAATTAGAGAAATTTATAATTTTAATTATGGGTAAATTATATTTGACCCTTTTTAGGTTTGACCATTTTAAAAAAAAAAAGAAAAGAAAATTAGAGAAATTTATAATTTTAATTATGGGTAAATTATATTTGACCCTTTTTAGGTTTGACCATTTTCTCATTTTGATTTTTAAAATTTATTTTTCTTCATTTTGATCCATTACGTTTTAAGTTTTTTTTTTTCAATTTACTCCTAAAACTAATTTCTATTCCAAATTAGATAAAAAATACCATAATAATTGTTACATAACATAAAAAATATATTATTATATTATAATTTAAATTTATGTTAGAG